ACTCACCTCAGCCTCCCAAAGGCGCAGGATTACAGGCTGAGCCACCGAGCCCGGCTTATTTTTTGATTTTTGTAGAGATTAGGTCTTGCTATGTTTCCTAGGCTGTAAAGAGAATTAACATTAAAATAACATAATCCAGCCGGCCACAGTGGCTCAAGACTATAATCCCAGCTCTTTGGGAGGCTGAAGCGAGAGGATTGCCTGAGCCCACGGGTTTGAGACCAGCCTGGGCAACATGGTGAGACCTTGTCTATATAATAAATAAAAAAATTAGCTGGGCGTGGTAGCACGCACCTGTAGTTCTGGCTACTTGGAAGGCTGAGGCGGAAGGATCACCGGAGCCCAGTAGGTCGAGGCTGCGGTGGCTGGGAGCATGTCATGGCACTCCAACCTGGGCAACAGAGTGAGATTCCAACTCAAAAATAATAATAAATAAATTAAAATAATGTAAGCCACTGATTAGCTCTGAGCTGGAGGGGTCCAATGCTCTTATGTTTCAGGTCCTCCAGATGGGGAAAAGTCTCATTTTTCCCCACGGTGACACACTTGTGTTTGAGTTGTGGGCCTTGCCTGGAGATGATGTGTGTGTCACACTTGGGCTTTTATGGATGGCTTCTCACCCCAAAGTCCCTGGGACTGTTCCCACGTGAGGGACTGCCTTCTAGCAGGGACCCATCACTGGGGTCACCTGGTGATGTTCCCTGAACTCCTGTGTGTGAGGCCCAGGGCTGTCCACAGTCTCCACAGCCCACCTGGGTCAGATGGAGCTGGGCAGCACTGCCCCTTGAGCTGAGAAGTGTTTCTGGTCTTTCCTGGCAGCCCTGGGACTGAGTGTCAAGGGCCCCTTGTAATTATACTGACCTGGCTGTGTTGACTTAACAATCACTAATCTCGCATTTCCTGTGGCCCCATGCTAAGTGCTCTGCAAATATCTTTCATCTTTGTAACTGCCTTCAGGGAGTGGGGCTGTTATTATCCTCATTTTACACCTGGGGAAACTGAGGCACAAAGAGAGCAAGTGACTTGTGCAAGGTCACACATCCAGGAAGTGGCAGAACCAAGATTCGAACCCACAGTCTGTGCCCTTGGTCGCCACACAGGTCGCCTTGCATTCAGCAGGAAAATATTCATCTTTATTCCTATTGATATTATTTTTTATTTTTATTTATTTATTTTTTTGAGTTGGAGTCTCACTCTGTCGCCCAGACTGGAGTGCAGTGGCTGCTCCCAGCCACCATAGCCTCGCCTGCTGAGCTCCGGCAGTCTTTCCGCCTCAGCCTTCGTAGTAGCTGGAACTACAGGCACGCACTACCACGCCTGGCTAATTATTGATTTGTTGTAGAGATGAGGGCTTGCCAAGTTGCCCAGGCGGGTCTTGAACCTGCGGGCTCAGGCAATCCACTCACCTCAGCCTCCCAAAGGCGCGGGATTACAGGCTGAGCCACCGAGCCCGGCTCTATTTATATTAAAGTGAAAAAACAGGCTAGGCCCAGTGACTCACACCTGCAATCCCAGCACTTTGAGAAGCCAAGGAGGGAGAATCACTAGAACCGAGAAGTTCAAGACTTGCCTGGGCAACATATCAAGACCTCATCTCTACAAAAATTCAAAAAATGGCTGGGCATGGTGGTTGATGCCTGTAATCCCAGCACTTTTGGGAGGCAGAGCCTAGAGGATTGTCTGAGTCCAGGGGTTTGACTCCAGCCTGAGCAACTTGGCGAGACCTTGTCTCTACAATAAATCAAAAAATTAGTTGGATGTGGTGACACACACCTGTGGTTCCAGCTACTTGGAAGGCTGAGGCGGAAGGATTGCCATGAGTATGCCATGAGTATACTCAGAAGGTTGAGGCTGTGGTGGCAGAGTGAGACTACCACTCAAAAAGAAAAAAAATCAAAAAATTAAGCCGGGCTCAGTGGCTCAGCCTGTAATTCCACCGCTTTGGGAGCCTGAGGTGAGTGAATTGCCTGACCTCATCTCTACAATAAAAATCAAAACTAGCCAGGCGTGGTAGCGTGCGCCTGTGGTTCCAGCTACTTGGAAGGCTGAGGCAGAAGGATCGCCGGAGCCCAGGACATCGAGGCTGCAGTGGGCTGTGACTGTGCCACTGCACTCCAGCCTGGGCGACAGAGTGAGACCCCCAACTCCAAAAAAAAAAGTGGGAAAAGATAGCAGCCCTAACCATTAGGGCTGAAAAGTGGAAAAAACCCAAATGTCCATCTGCGGCTGATGGAAAAACCACACAGTCCTTCCCTGTGGTGGAATATTATTCAGCCTTTAAGAGGAACGAAGCTCTGACTCATGGACAAACCTTGAAACAGAATGCTCAGTGAAAGAAACCAGGCACAAAGGCCACAGATCAAAGTATAGAAATAACAGAACAGGCAAATGTACAGGGACAGTGGGTGAGACTGTGGGGGGATGGGGTGTGGCTGCTTCATGGGTGTGGGGGTTTCTTGTGGGGATTATAAAAATGCCCCAGCCGGGCTCGGTGGCTCAGCCTGTAATCCCCCGCTTTGGGAGGCTGAGGTGAGTGGATTGCCTGAGCCTGCGGGATCGAGACCCACCTGGGCAACTTGGTGAGATCTCATCTCTACAATAAATAACTTAAAAAAATTAACTGGGTGTGGTAGCGCGCGCCTGTAGTTCCAGCTACTTGGAAGGCTGAGGTGGAAGGATCGCCGAAGCCCAGCAGGTCGA